GCACAGAAAGATGGACAGAGAGGGAGAGAGAGAAAGCACCCAAAGGAAACACAGCAGTTGAGAAAACTGTTTAGTTTTGAAACTATAGGATGATAGTTTAAGAGAACATTTTGAGAAATGAGGCATGCTCACATCTTGTGTGGTAGTGAGACCCCAAACAAAACGTTCCAGGGGCTTTGGTTTCATGACATTCATGTGTTGAAGAGGTGGATGCAGCAACATGCACTAGGTCACACAAAGTTGATGGGTGTATAGTGGAAGCAAAGAGAGTTGTCTGTAAAAAGGATTTTGTAAAGCCTGGTGCCCATCTAAAAGTGAAGAAAATTTGTGTTGGTGGTATTAAAGAAGATACAAAAGAATGCAATTTGAGAGATTTTGTTGAAAAGCTTGGCAAGGTTGAAACCATACAAGTTATGGAAGGTCAACAGAGTGGTAAAAAGAGAGAGTTTGCTTTTATAACTTTTGATAATCATGATACAATTGATAAAAAATGTTATTCAGAAGTGCCACACATTAATGGGTATAGTTGTGAAGTGAAAAAGGTCCTTTTGAAACAAGAAATACAGTCCCCTGGATCACAACAAAGTCGTGGAAGTGGGTCTGGCAACCGTATGGGTTGTGGAAGAAGCTTTGGAGGTGGTGGAGGTAATTTTGGTTGTGGTGGAAACTTTGGTGGAAGAGGAGGCTATGGTGGTGGAAGTGGTGGAGGTGGTGACAGCAGAGGTAGCTACAGAAGAGGTGATGATGAATATAATGGATTTGGAGGTGATGGTGGCAACTATGGCGGTGGTCCTGGTAATAGCAGTAGAGATGGCTATGGTGACATGGACCAGGATGTGGAAACCAAGGTGGTGGATATGGTGGTGGTGGTGGAGGGTGTCATGGTTACAATGAAGGAGGAAATTTTGGAGGTGGTAACTACGGTGGTGGTGGAAACTGTAATGATTTTGGAAGTTACAGTGGACAACAGCAATCAAATTATGGACCCATGAAAGGGGGCAGTTTTGGTAGAAGAAGTTCGGGCAGTCCTTATGGTGGTGGTTATGGATCTGGTGGTGGAAGTGGTGGATATGATAGTAGAAGGATCTAAAAACAGCAGAAAAGGGCTACAGCTCTTAGCAGGAGAGAAAGCAACCAGTTGTCAGGAAAGCTGCAGGTTACTTTGAGATAGTTGTCCCAAATGCATTAGAAAAACTATAAAAATCTGCCACAGGAGGAACAATGATCCATAGTCAGAAAAGTTACTGCAGCTTAAACAGGAAACCCATCTTGTTCAGGACTGTCATAGCCGCAGTTTGCAAAAAGTACAGTTACTGATTAGTGCAATGTCGTGTCAATTAGATGTACATTCCTGAGGTCAAAAATCTATTACGGCTTTGTCTTTTTTCCCATTATATTAGGTATATTGCCCAGTAAACTGTGGCAGTGGTACCAGGAATAAAAATTAAGGAATTTTTAACTTTTGCTTTATAAAATGAAAAAGGATTGGTTAGTTGGAATACTTTCAATGGGTCTGGAGATGTAGGAGCTGTAGCTGTTGTCTGATGTGAGGTGATTAGAGCAGGAGAATAGTGGAGACTAGTGTCCTACTATAAGAGCCTCTTAAAGCAGGCAGGAGGTGAGGGAGTGGGAATTATGGGTATTGGATTGGCTGGTTTGCATATGAAAGGTATGCTAACCAGAGAATCTGCTGTTATCTTTGGGAATTATCTAGGCCTGGATGGGGCAGTCTCTCCCTGATCCCAAGACCCCAGATGCCAAAGCATCAAACACAGAAACTAGAAAATACAGTTAATATACTCTTTAATGAAGTCATTAAATTATAAACAACAATGGGATCCCAACTAGCTTATGGACCTTGGGTCAGAAACAGGGTTCTTGGGACCAGGAGTTGGTGTAATGGCTATATCACTGGACTCCCATGTAGTCGACCACAGTTCAAGTCCAGGACCCAGTGGCTTAAACTCATGCTGGGTGCATGAGTGTGCGTACCCAAGATCCCGAGAGGAGAATGGAGGAGAAGGGATTGTGGCGTGGCCATCCTCCCAGGAGGTGATTTCTTGCCTTCTGTCTCTCTGTCTCTCTCTGTCTTTCTGGCGAGCACAAGCGCCCTATAGCAAAAATCTCTCACAAAAAAAAAAAAAAAAAGGAAGAAAGAAAGAAAGAAAGAAGGAAGGAAGGAAGGAAGGCAGGCAGAAAGAAAGAAAGAAAGAAAGAAAGAAAGAAAGAAAGAAAGAAAGAAAGAAAGAAAGAAAGAAAGAAAGAAAGAAAGAAGAAAGAGAAAAGGAAGGAAAAAGAAAAGAAAAAAGGAAAGAAAAGAAAAGCAACAGTGGTTCTCAACACTAGCTGTATATCAGTATAAATCTGGGATATTTCCTAAATATACAAGGATAAGAATAGGCAATTGACTACAGGGTCCTCCCATCACATCCGTGAACACAACAACCAACATTCAGTGCTCTGAGGCAAGGCTCAGCTAACATGTGTTGGGTTATTCTTCCAAGTAGACATCACTGCAACTCGGAGAGTCTCACGTTGTCTTCAGATGCTTTGATTCCAAGCAACCAGGAGAAACTGAGATCAGGTTGAAAACACAATATACACTCACTCCCTTGGTGGCTGGAGAAGTCAGAGGCTCCTGGGGGAGGTGACAATCCAGGGTACTTTGAACACCCAGATCAGCCTGCTCTCACAGAATTGATGTGCTCAGCACTCTGGGCTGCTGAATCTATAGTTCATTTCTAAAGAACTCTTCTTGTGTCCTCAAATTGCAAGTTTCAATATTCAGAGTGAGCTGAGTGACAAAATGGTGAGGCTTTCCAAAGAAGTGACTAAAAGCAAACAGGGTACTAATACAGTAGAGACCGAGCACATACGTGACTTTCCTTTGTTGAAAGAAACTCATGGACAAGAATTAGGATATATCATAAACAACGTGATGTGGAAGAAAAGATTCACTTCGTCAGTAACAAGAAGCTGTTCCTGAGGTCATGGACTTGCACTGTAATCCCAGTCTCTCCCTTTAGCAGCTGTGAATTCAGGCAAATAAATTAAATTCTAAACTTTAGAGGCTGGTGTTTTACTGGGACAGCAGTAAAACACAATGCTCTGTGAGCCTAAGCCACGTAATAAGGTTCTTAGCTGGTGTCTGGAGACCTCCCTGAATATACCGGACACATGTGTGCTCGTGATCCAGCATTGACCAAAGCTAGGGGCAGGTAGCAGCATTCAGACCCTGTAAAGGGTGCTGTCTCTCTCTTTCTCTCTCTCTGTCTCTCTTGCTCATGGAAGAAAGGCAAAAATAAACCTTTATAACATTCTGAATTTTGATTTTCTCAACAAAATGGTATAATGATGTAGTACTTTCCCAATCTTTTGCTTTGAGGATTAAATAAAATAATGTCAGTAAAGCACTTGGCTCTGTGCTCTTTGTAAGTACTCCATAAAATTTAACCAGTTTCTGCTATTGGTACTACCAATAATATTATTTTAGCACAGTGACCTAGAGTAAGTGCCCCATAATATTAGCCGTTCTCATTATTATCACTCTTGGGTCTCTCAATTACACTCACATCTGGTGTAAGGACTATAGCTAGTCAGACAAGCCAATACCCTAGAGACAAGCATCTTTTCAAAATTCAAAAAATTCCTGTGTGTCTTCTACTTATAAGTAGCATTCCCTTAAACAGGGTAGGGTAAATTATGTGGCTATAACAAACCTCAAACTCTCAGTGATTTAGCACTACAACGTTTATTTCTTGCTTATGTCCCCATCAAATGTGAATGAGTTGGCATTTGTCCTTCAAGCGATGAATCAGAAACCAAGGCAGCTCCCATCTGGAGGCAGATTCAGGTTTAGAAGTTCAGGCTGAGGAGTGGTTCACACTTAGATAGATTCAGGCTTAGAAGGTCAGGCTGAGGAGTGGTTCACACTTTGTGGCTTTCCCCCACAGATCTTAATTCCAGAATTAGTCTTCTCTCTCTCCACCAAGCTCATTATTCAGCTATCCATGAATCCATTGGTGTCATAGCACATGTTGGAACTTCACCACCATGCTGGCTCTCCTCTGAATAGTTCAGGGTCCCAAACCACTAGGCCATGGACTGATACCCGTCTGAGGTCAATTAAGAACTGGGCCAGTTAGTATCTTAGCATCATAGTAAAAGACGGGTGGCAGGTGAGGTAGTGAAGCTTCATCTGTATTTACAGCCACTCCCCATCACTCACATTACTGCCTGAGCTACTGTCAGATCTGCAGTGGCACTAGATCCTCATAGGAGCCCCCAAATAGGACCATCTAGCTGTGGGAAACAAGCTCAGGGTTCCCAGTGATTCTGCATTATGGTGAGTTGTATAATTATGTCATTATACATTATAATGTAATAATAATAGAAATAAAGTACACAATCAATGTAATGTGCTTGAATCATCCCAAAACCACCCACCATACCCTTCTCCCCAGTGTGTGGAAAAATGTCTTCCATGAATCCAGTTCCTAGTGCCAAGCAGGTTGGGGACTGCTATACCCAACCCAGTTGGTCTACTCCTGCACTAAAATTGATCATAAGTATAGTCTGACAAACATAAATGGAAGGTACAACTGCCTTTTTCATTCTAGAGAAATGTATTTCTACTAACGAAGCCTAAGCTAACAAGGGTCTTTTTTGGTGGGGAAGATTTTAGTGATGCTGAATTTATTGTCAACAAAAAAATCACCATAGATAATACAACAAATTCTCATCAGTGGTTTGCATTTTGTTTTGTCTTTTCACTTTGAAAAGTTTCTCTATTATGGAAATAGACCACATGAAGATTGTATATTGAAGAGATTTGTTTTCTTTGATTTACCCATTAATACCACCCCTCCACTCTGTAAAGGGACACCAGGGGTGTGCCTTATAACTCACAGCTTTCTGGTGGTGGATGCTGGGAAGAGTAGTGCCAAGCCTTGATCATCCCTGCTGTTGCTCAGACTGACCCGCTGCCCACCTCATTGCAGGTACCACATCTGCGTGACTGTGCTGATCTACTTCCTCCCCCTGCTGGTGATCGGCTATGCATACACCGTGGTGGGAATCACACTGTGGGCCAGCGAGATCCCAGGAGACTCCTCTGACCGCTACCATGAGCAAGTCTCTGCTAAGCGCAAGGTGAGCAAGGGGCAGGCAGCACCTAATCCTCCCCGGCACAGGCAACAGGCTGGCAAGCTTGTGAGCTCAGAGGCCGCAAGCACAAAGTATTCCTAGGCCTGGGAACCAGCAGAGAGGAGGGGAGGGACTTTTTCTTCAGTATATCTGTAACCTGAATCTGGCCAAACAGGCATGAGCCACCTTTGCTTGTTCCTTAAGAGTAATTGCAGCCTGTCAATCCTTAACATCACACATGCACACACACATGAATACATACACACTCTTCAAACTACAAAAGCAGTGAAGAGGTACTTAGTTCTCTTTCTATTAAGCAATAGTTTAATAAGATAACACATTCTCATAACTAAAGTATCAAAAAGTATTAAGGCCCAACCATGGTAGCCTACACTGGACACTGCTATTTGGTAGAATGAGGCCAGGTGCAGGTTTGATTCCTGGACCATCCCAAAAAATAAGGTACAGTGGTTCATGCTTGTAGTCCCAGTTGCTCAGGAGGCTGAGGCAGGAGGATTCCAACATAGAAAGACTCTGTCTTTAAAAATAATAATAATAATTTGAAAGAACAAAATTATAGTGATGGAGAACAGATTCAGAGTTACCAGGAATTAGTACTGGAGGAGAGGGCTGGTTAAAGGGAGAAAGTGAGGGGTGGTATTTTCACTTACCTATATGTATAATTAAATTTCATAGAACTGTATACAAAAAAAAAGGGAGGAGTGTTTGTAAAAATGGACAAATACAAATACAATCTGTACATTAGTGAATAGTACAATACTAATGTCAGTTTCTTGGTTTTGATAATGTAATATGGTTACATATGATGAAGTCATTGAAGGAAGGTGGGTAAAGGTAACTTATTGAAGAGAACTTTTGCTGCATCTTAGAGGTCTTAAATTGGTTCAAAATTAAAAGTTAGAAGGTTTTTTTTACAGTTGTACCTTCTAAGTCCTCCATCTACTCAGTTCTCAAGCACATGCATGTGCACCTGCACACACACAAACACACACACACATGTTGGTAACCATTGTTCATTTGTTTCTTATTAATCCTTCTATATATTGACATTTATTAGCCAAATAAATGTATATTATTTCCTCTTCTTATTTTTCACACAAACACTGAACACACACTGTTTGTCCCTCACTTTTTCAATGAACAAAATCCATAAGATCTTGGAAACGCAATATATGAGTTTCTCATTCCTTTCCTTTTTTTCAGGTATTTCTTTGCATAGTATTTCATTGTTTGGATGCTACATATTTCTTTTTCCTTTTTATTTATTTTTTTCAATTTCATTTTCTTTTATACATTCAATCACATTATTATTTGGCATACAAAATGGATATTTCAGCAGGTGAACATTTCTCCCTAGTACAGTTCATAAACCTATAAAATATCTTCAACAGATAATACCACATTTCTTTGTGCCATTAATACTTTGCCTCCCTATTTTTCTTCTAAATGTCCTTCCTCAGACCCTCCTCTTTGATACACACTATATCTGGTATTTACATCTATATACTGTGTTTCTATATCCTTTAGTCAATTATCTTCAGTCACAGAGTGCAGACACTCGGTATATATTCTTTTTTTTTTTATATCACTATTTTTTATTTTCTTCATGAATCTGTGTGTCATCCTTGCGCAGGGGCCATGCTAATCTTCTCTGTATCATTCCAATTTTAGTATATGTGCTGCTGAAGCGAGCACATCAGTATATATTCTTTATTGACAATTTCTTTGGGATTAAAAAGAATGGGGTTATGTCACTTTGTATCTTAGCCCATTGGGACTGCTATGACAAAATACCTTTGACTGGAAACATAAACAGTAGAAATTTGTCACAGTTCTGAAGGCTAGAAAGTCTAAGATCAAGGCATCAACAGATTGGGTGTCTAAAGAATGCCAGCATCCTGTCTGTGAAAGGTGACTTCTCACTGTATCCTAACATGGCAGAAGGGAGAAGGGGTCTCTCTTGGACATTTTATAGGGGTACTAATCCCATTCTTAAGGACTCTGCCCTCAAGACCCAATCATCTCCCAAAGTCCCCAACTCCAACATTATCATCCTGGGGTTAGAATTTCAACCTATGAATTTGGGGAGGACACAACCATTTGGACCATTGCACTCAGTACTCATAAAACTCTCTTTAAATTCCCTCCAACAGTCTGATGTTCCCTTGCAGCTGTCCAAATCTCTCCTTCCCCCTTCACTCTCCCTTAGTCTTCAAACTTATGCCCTGGTTCATCACCTTCCCCTTTCCCACCCTTTCTGCTGCTCCCTCCTCTTCCTGAAAGTCCACTCACCTTTGCTCACTAACATGGTCTCTCCTAGTGTTTCTAGTCATTGTCCAGAAGGATCATCTAATATAGCAGTCCTCAAATGTGAGCACTCATGAGAATCATTTCAAGGGTTTGTCCAGCACAGAATTCCAGGTCTTACCTTCAGAATTTCTTTCTCAGTAAATCTGTGGTGGGTTCCAAGAATATTCATTTCTGACAAGTTCTCAGGTGATGGCAATGATGCCATCCTAGGACCACACTCTGCTGACATAACTGAAGTCCTTTAGTGCTACATATTAAAGATCCTCCTCCTCCTCAAATGCGGTTATAATAAATACACCCCTCCACACTGCGTGCCATGAGAGGGCGGGAGGAAAGTGTGCATGTGGTCTCAGCTATCTGGTTCTCTTTCCAGGTGGTCAAAATGATGATCGTAGTAGTTTGTACCTTTGCCATCTGCTGGCTGCCCTTCCATATCTTCTTCCTCCTGCCCTACATCAACCCGGACCTCTACGTGAAGAAGTTTATCCAGCAGGTCTACCTGGCTATCATGTGGCTGGCCATGAGCTCCACCATGTACAACCCTATCATCTACTGCTGCCTCAATGACAGGTGAGGTTCTCAACCCCCACTCTCTCTCCAAGGGCCACAAGACCATCTGTCTTTACAGCAGCCAGGTGACCAATCTGAGCAAAGCTGACTGTGAAACAAGAGGGAGAGGTGGGAACTAACCATTACATGTCTTAGCCCCTGGTGATTATTGCCATGCAGGTGTGTGAGCCCAGGGCAGACTAGTTTTTGCTTGTTTGTTTTCATTTCTAAGAGGAACCAGAAATCCATATTTTTGTGTGAAATCTGATTTTTAAATACTGGAAACAAAGTTGGGCGGTGGTTAAATACCTCTCCAATTGATGCATATATTGCAGACCTGCAAGCTGGATCCAGCACATGGCCTGTGAGCTTGTTCACTCTGTTCTCTGGAGTCGGTGCACAGGGGGCTGGACTGTGTGGGCAGAAGGGAGAGGTGGTACTGTAACACCATCCCCCACAGAGTATGTTTTTCCCTGCTCTGGTCTCTCATATCTCCCTTCCTATCCTATCATACAGTCTGGGCAGCTTTACTCAGTTTCTTCCAGCAGTTCCAGCAGGACAGGGTAAGTAGAGTCAAGGCCTCAAAGGTCAATTGGGTTGGGGAGACCTCCTCCCGCAGCAGAAGCTAACTTCAGACAAATAAGAGGGGAGTCCTTCAGGAGTGGTATTGAGCAGTAGAAAATTCTCCATGGTATGCAGAAACTTCCTGAGACGAGGCTAGAACATGTGGCTGCAGCACAATCCATGATCCAGGTCACTACGTCGCCCTCTGTGTGGGAAAGGAGCAGAGAGGAAGGGGAGGAATGAAATGCTGCTTGGTCTTGATATCCACCAGTCATCAGCCTATACAGACCTATTTGTGGGTGAGACACTCAGAATCTATGGATACTGTGAGTCTGGGGAAATATTGAACTTGTCCAAATGGTCTCTGCCAATTTAATCCACAAAGTAATTCTCCTTTTAAGAGCTTGACCACCTGCCTAAACTTCTTTAGATTAAATTCTGCAGCACTCTTTTAAGTTAGAGTTAATTCTCCCTGTTCAACAAACAGGGACATCAAGGCACACTGAAGGAACATGATTGGCAAGGAGTCCTTTAATCAGTTACTTGAGGGAAAGGACTGAATCTTTTTGTTTTTTCCATTTATTTATTTCCACCTTAGGAGACAGAAAGAGGGAAATTTAGAGACAGGTACCCCCACCAGGGTCTTCACACCACAAGCTACCCCCAGCCTCAGTCAGGCCAGGTCATGGGCACACATGCACATGTACTGCATGCACAGAGAGACCCTGGAACACAAACCTGGGACCTTCCCATGTGGATCAGCATCACAGAGCCTACATTACCACTGTGCCACCAACTGGCCCAGGGCCGAGTCCTGAAACTGTTTTGACCTCCCAGTGACTAGCACAGTGCTATGCACGCAGTAAACACTTGGTGGCTGCTTTGGCTTATGTTGAGTTGACACAAAGCGTGCTGATTCCACACCAGAAGAGGCAGTATAGTTCAGAAGCCACCCTCAGGAAAGATGTACATTTCACATGAAGTCGTGTTCTAGTTCTGGATTGGACATGGATGACTGATTTTTAGATCTTTTTGGCCTCAGCGTCTCCAACATTGTTAATGTTTAAAATAACAGAGTCACACTGGGGTGTGTCCAAGTGCGATGGTGGGAATGCCCTCTGAGAGAAGGCTGTTTCTGAGGGTCACTTCTTCTCTCTTGTCTCTCTAGGTTCCGACTGGGCTTCAAACATGCCTTCCGGTGCTGCCCCTTTATCAGTGCTGGTGACTACGAGGGGCTTGAAATGAAATCCACACGGTACCTACAGACCCAGGGCAGCGTGTACAAAGTCAGCCGCCTGGAGACCACCATCTCCACAGTGGTGGGGGCCCACGAAGAGGAGGCAGAGGATGGCCCTAAGGTCACACCTTCGCCCCTAGACCTGAACTCCAATGGTTCCTCTCGCAGTGATTCCAAAACCATGACCGAAAGCTTCAGCTTCTACTCCAACACGGTCTCCTAGACCCAGGTCCATCATAAGGTGCAGCACTACCATTCTTTATCCACTCACTCCATGCATGGATAGTTCCTTAATCTGGAAGCCATCAGAAACACCTTAACACTGGGGTTTATGGGAAGGATTAGAAAGGATTAGAGAAAGCATTTCATCTCAAAGTCAAAAAATTTGAATCCTTCCCTGTCTTTGCCACTCCGTATGCTGTGTGACCCAACAAGAATCATTGAACTTCTCTGAGCCTGTGAAATAAGAAAGTTGTATTAGATATTTCCTACAGTCCATTCTGTGATTCTAGAGTTGACTTCAGCTGCTGTGGGTGCTCATTTCAGGATGAATTCTGTAGTGCAGCCACGAACACAATTGACCCTTTCTCCTGGAGTTTCTGTATTACTTCAGTAAAGTCATTCTCTGTCATGTTCAAATTAGCACCCTTCAATTGGTGTCTCACATGACAAATCTTCATTTGGCAGGGCAAACCAAAGAGCATGGCACGTAGAAACTGAACGGAAGATTTATTTCCAACTTCTAAGTATCTGCAAAAAGAAGATAAACATCTGTCCCCTTTGGAATCTCAACTGAGTTTATTCAAGTGTCTTGGGACTGAGAGCCTTGGATTCTCCTGCACTGTGTCTCAGTGACTGCCCTGAGCAACCAGTACAGACAGAACCCACTAATCGCAGCTAGGTTTTGTTATGGACCAAGAGTAAAGAGACCTGTGCCATACTTTATCTGAGCCTCTTCCCTTATTTGTTAAAACAAAAGGGGGGGTACTGAACTAGATAATCTAAGAGTCCCTTTGAATCTTATTGCCTCATGGTTTAATGATCGTACGTATATTTTGTTTCACTGAAAAGTGGTAATCTTAGAAAGAATAGGAGCCATGAGTCTCATGACTAACATCCAGTTCCTAGATAAGTAGCAGCCATTAAGGCCATGGATAAATATCCATCTCAGATTTATCCCAAAACCCTGAGTTCAAGCCTCTTGGAAGGTTCTGACCTTTGACAGATCAGAAGAGTTTGTGTCAAAACCTGTTTTACTCTCTCAGACATCAGCAGGCTGAGTTTCACAGCTGGAGAATGCCATCAGGGACGATAAGCATGGGGGGTGGGGGAGTCCTGCTCTGGCCTTTTGGGTATCTTAGGGCAGGGGCCATAACCCAAAGTCTTAACTTTACACCAGTGTAAGGTAGGTGCTCGGCTGCCCAATGAGCAAGGGAGCTGCACCCCACAGCTATACCTCTGAAAAGAAGGCATCCCACATCAGATTTCTTCAGCCTCTGAATTTCCCATTTCTGCCCCCTGGTTCTGCTGGTCTTCTGTCTATAAAGGCAGAATGATCCACCAACCCTAACAGACAGTCTGTCTTCCAAGATCCATGAACTGAATGTTTCATGTCTGCTACAGCTTTGGGGTTTACAGCAGGTTAGATGCCATTTCCTTCTGTCTCCCAGTCTTGGGCTTTGTCCAGATGTGGCTGATCAGAAGCAGAAGGCTTGTGTAATATTCATGACTGTCCTCCTCATAGTCTGAGTAATAGATGCATGTGTGCTGCATCCATGGTATGAAGGGACAACGATGCTGCCCACAGGATTTACGGTCTTTATCAGCCCTGCTGCTCTAACCCTACCAGGGCATTGGCAAGCCTGGGGGAAGTTGTATAACAACAGTATAAGCCACAAAAATGCAAGAATGACATTCTGAAAGCAATGTGGGAAGTATTAAATAACTTGAGTAAAGCTGGCTCCATACGGACATATGAACGGAAGATAGCATTTAGAGTCAACAAAAGTCAGTGCCCAAATCATCTGTCACAGTTCCAGCAGAGACTCATGCCGTGTGCATATGGGTTATTCACTTCAGAATAATGTGAAGAACTGGCACGATTCTAAGTACCTAAGAAGAAAGTGTCAAATACTTAGGGACATTCCATCTATGGAAGAGACGATTAGAGTTGAACCAACAGGACTGACTGAGGACCTCTTCTGAATATTGCCCTGTGCTGAGGACACACAGCTCCTTCCGTTTTCGAGGAGCTTCTATACTTAATATTGCCAACTAGCAGTCCTGGTGAGTCCAGCCTGCCTGAATCTAGAAAGCAAATTCTCCAGAGGATTTAAACGCATACTCAACATGGGTAATCAAGCCAAATCTGAGACCTTTCAGGAACCTTGGCAATGAGAGTTCTCTGAGATGATTCCAAAGGCGCCTCCAGTCAGTCCAAGCATCATGCTAAAGGGATGTGGTTGAACAGCTTCACCTGTGCATAATAGAGTATGTGATGGTCCTGGGCAGTTTTCAATATGGCAAAATGTCCCTTCGGAGAGTGCCAACATGCCTTTCTTGCCTCACCCTCCAACGCCATTTACCTTATAAAACTGTCATCGGCTCCCACGTGGGAGAAACACCATGATTTGCACTGTGCATGAGTCTCATTCTTATAATGGAAATGTGTCCTCTTGTGTTTATTTCCTCAGTGAGTTTCTTTGAGGTCTGTCCAGCAGTAATAGAATATGAGACATCATGGACCATCGCTGTTATGTTCCTTCCAAAATGTAGGATCCAGTTGCTATTAGTGTTATTTGTGTTGTGCCAATCTCCTCCTCCTCCCCATTTTTTTCTGAAGGAGGAGCTCTGATGTATGTCACAGACTCACAGTAGGGCCACGGTAATTGAGGAGTGGGGAGGGAGATCTCTGTGGGAGGAAATAGGGGAACAACAGTTTTTATCCTCCTTACCCCAACCAGAATGCTAAGACAGAGCTGAGCACAACCTGGGAAAGGGGACTCAGCAACCAACCTCACTGGCCTGATTGTATAGAGAAGAGCATATGTGGAGAGAAGCCATTCCTCAGGTTTCCATGTTTTCCAGCCTGAGATCCTGGAAACAATCGCTATACAGAAATAAAGTTTGTGTTTGACCATCTCGTTCTTCTGAGTCTTCTCCAGAACCTGAGCAAACTGTAGGATGCAGAGTGGGCTCGTGCTAGGACCCAAATGAGTTGAATAGCTATTAATAGAAGATGGAATATAACACTAAGTGAATTCCTGATGAAATAGATTGGGAATTGTTTGTAGGTAAAGATCTGGAAAGGTGAGGTGGGGTTGTGTGATGTGACCAACAGTGTCACCTGTGAATGGAGTTCTGTCAGTTTAGGCCATCCAAGAAGCAGACTCCAAAACAGTGAGACTGCAAAAGCATCATTGGGACAGGGATTGATGATGTAGGTGGAGGTCCCTTGGGAAGGATAAAGGGATCAAAGGTAGAGGAAACAGACGTAGGAGAAAACCTCCAGATCACTTTGCAGATGATAGCTGTGAGAGAAGTTGGGGGACGAGTGAGCAAGGAAAGCCTCCACCTATGGTGCAGCTGCTTGGCTGGCCCAACAGCATACGCAGATTGCCAGAGAGAATCCCACACTGGTAGAAACAGCCAGCCTGGTCCTGCGTGCTCCACGCTGATTGGAGCCCTCTGGGGCCTGTCTGCCCTGAAGGCTGTGGTGCCTCCGGCAGCACTGCAGCTGGAGGCTGTCAGTTGGCTGACCCCGCATGGCCTATGCTTTCTCTAAGAGAGACCTGAGCCCATCCCTCCACACCTGCCATCAGACTGTTGTTCCAGACCCCTGCGTCTGAAAACACAGGCCAGAAAATCCTTAGCAGGATCTGAAATGTCAAAGGTAATCACTGTGAGCCCTGGCCACCTGCCTCCTACACCCTGGGCTCCTGAACAACCTCACCTCTCAGGCATCTCTGTCTAAAGAGCAATGAGCACTTATTAACAGACCCAAGTGACAGGTTTTAAAAAACATTTAGAAGAGAGTGTTTTGAGGAAAGCATAGATAGCTGTCCAACACAATATCAGAACAAGCAATGAAGACATTTTATGTTATCTTAAACCAGAGTACATGGATAAGCTTCAAGAAATCCACAAGTTCCCATCAAGATCCTCATGAAGAATACATAAAACATTGAATGTGTGTGTGTGTGTGTGTGTGTGTGTGTGTGTGTGTGTGTGTGTGTTTAATAAGGGGTGTATTAAACCTGAATCTCTTCAGAATAAATCATTCACCCTCTGTTGTCCAGAGGGAAGAGAAAATTTAAATTCTTTATAAAAGATAGGAGAGAAGTCTTGAGACTCTCAGAGCACAGGGAAAGGCAGATGAGCCCTGGCAGAACCAGAATGACTGTTGGGAAATGAAAAACTACTTTAGGATAAAATTATAAGTCACCTCAGACACTTGGATGAGTTAAAGCTGTAGAACATCATTGAAGACTTTTGTGGTTGTGGAAACATCAAAAACATGATAAAAGGGTATTCTCATTTATCTCCATGGAAAAATGAGCATTTTCCACTGAGGAAAGGCTACGCGGTTGTGGAAACATCAGAAACGTGATAAAAGGGTATTCTCATTTATCTCCATGGAAAAATGAGCATTTTCCACTGAGGAAAGGCTACGCGGTTGTGGAAACATCAGAAACGTGATAAAAGGGTATTCTCATTTATCTCCATGGAAAAATGAGCATTTTCCACTGAGGAAAGGCTACGCCTTAGTTATGAGTCAGCAACTAACACAAGATGTGAAGTACAAACATTCCTGTGGAAACACAAAGGAATTTTCATTTATTCCTGAGGCCTGCATTCACACTGAGAATAGTGGGCCCTGAGGCCACATCCGGCATGGTGACTGTCTCCCCTCAGCTGCCTCAAATCCCTTTCAGGAATAGGGTATAAGTGAGTAAGCAGATCCCCTCAGCTCAGGAACCCAAGAGCAGTATTTCAGCCATTGCTCAGAGCAGAGGTGAGACGGCGAGGACACACCCAGAATGTCCCTCTCCTTCACCTGAAAGGGTGAAGGGAGAATCTAATTATAGAAGTTGCTTCCCTGAACCCCATGGGCAATGCTCTGAGACAGCATAGTTGATTTCTACCCATTTCAGGGAGACAACAGGGAGGGGAATGAGACCAGGTAGCATCATATCTCACATGCACCAAATGCAACATAAAGGGGCTTCAGACTCAGGCCTGGCTCCTCTGTCAACAGGATAGCTTGCAAGGAGAAAGGGCTGCTCATTAGAAACATCTAACTAGAGGATATCAACAATGACATCAACTGAGGACCAGCTTCTCTGTCCCTGTCACCGTTCTATGGCATGTTAGCTCTGTATTCACCAGCTAAGGAGGTTTTCATATAGACAGTTTCCAACCCGGCTGCTCTGCATGTGCCACCTTCTTTCTACTTTTTTTATTTCTAACTTCCCTTGTTCTCCACTCTTTAATCTGACACTGCTCCCATCCCTAGAAGCCCTCTCCTCCTAACACTTCCCTTGAGGAAGTCTTAGACTTTATCCCAATTATTCTAGATGCTTTCTTGGTATACTAATTAATAGAGGATTTGGTATGTTTTATGGACCATATGTTTGCATTTCCCAAAATTCATATGCTGAAACCCTAACTCCAACTGTGATGGTATTTGGAGAGGGAAGCTTTGGGATGTAATTAAGTTATGCAGGAGAAACCCTCATGAGGGATTCATTAGTGCCCTTCTAAGAAAAGACACAAGAGCTTGCTTCCTAAAGGCTTCCTGCCATGGGACAAGATAAGAAGACAGTTCCCTATAAACCAGGAAGAGGGCCCTTACCAGAACTTACCATGTAGCATCCTGATTTTAGATGCCCCAGGCTCCAGAACGGTAAAAAGTAACTTCTTTTGCTTAAGCCATCCGGTCTAGGGCATTCTGTTATAGCAGCCCAAACAAAGAAAGTTTTATGGTAAGAACCCACCTATTCCTGCTCACAATCCTTTTTACCCATCTCTTCCAATTCTCCTTTTCTACCCTATATACCCACCTAGACACACACAAACTTTGCCTTCATTCCATATCCCCCACTCCTTCTCCCCTAGTTTCCCAAATTGAGATGGCACTCAGAGCAGGGCTTCCAAGATAGCCCCAACATTGAGAAGAACCAACTAAGCAGAAGACATTGAAGTTACGCACAAGCATGCAGTGAGCTCAGAACCAGCTCTCATTGTGGAAACCAAGCATGGTTTCCCCTCATGCTTGAAACCACGTTGGTCCTGGACATTCATGTTGCCTGGGTTATACCTTACACTAACTGAAGTGAGAGAAGGGCCACAGCATGAGATATCCCCCAAGGTCCTTGTTTGATAGAGGAAAAGGGCATGTATGTGAAAGTAGAAATCTTGGGCTCCCGAAAAGTAAGAAGTCCCCAGAAGTGGAAGAACTGAATTGCTTCCTTCCCTCTCCCATCTCAAATGCCATAATAATAAAGACTCTAATAATAATGAGAACAAGTATTACTCTCTGGATCTCTTGTGCCAAGCACTATGTGTACATTGTCATGTTTAATGTTAACATGCTGCAAAGTCAGTATTATTGTCAGTAATTTAGTATGAGAACAATGGGGCATAGCTGAAATAACTTGTCCGAGATCCCATTGCCAAAACTGAATCTCGATCCTGCCCAATTCAAAAGCTCAAGGTTTCAGGTAAATCTTCTGCTATCTCTTTTATTTATCATATTCGTGGACCTCTATCCTTCCCTTCAAAGTGCCACAGTTTAGGCTGGCAAGACTTCCTCAAACACATTGCTAGGAAGCTACTTCATGAAATTGTGTTTCCAGGAGCAGTAAACTTCCATTGCCCCATAAGATCATCATAAAAATATTTCAAAGGATGAATGGTCCTCGTAGTCTCCGTAGCCATCCCTACAACCAGGCAGGATATGCAGTTAGGTTCCAACTACGATTTGAAAAGTGCTCACCATGACTTTCCAGCTACCATAAATCTTGGCACATTTAGTTCTGGGTACATAAAATCCCCTAGATATGCATTTCTTTGGAGGATAAAGGCTTCTTTTAGAATGATGAATGGCACTGAGAAGGATAATGTTTTGTGTTTACAACTAGCAACTTAGATCTCTCTGTCCTGCCCATAAAACCAGACTCACCTATGTACTGGAGGCAGTCATGCAGGGCAGAACTACTCAGCTGTCTGTGAAAATCATGCATCAGGGAAGAGTATACTAGAGTCAAGATGAACCAGAGTCAAAAGATTGTTCACAGAATTGCTTAGTCAGAAAAGAAAGGTGAGCTCAGTACCTAAGCAAAGGAACTAAGAAGTTGACAACTGAGTTACCAAATCAGTGGTTTTTGAACCCTAGTGAGCATAATTTTGTTAGGGGGTGTGCTGTGCTGAGACCTAAATTCTGGGCCTTATTCCCACAGACACTGGGCCTTATTCCCACTACATTTAGTAGATCACTGGCTAAATCAAGCAATCTGCATTTTTTTCTTTCTTTTTCAAAGAATTATTTATTTTATTTGTTATTATTATTTGACCAGAGAGAGAGAGAGAGAAAGGGAAAGTGAGAAAGAAAGCCACCAGGTCCAGGACTTGAACCGCGGCTGGCCATGTGGGAGTCAAGTCCAGCACCTTAACCACTGTGCCACCTGCCGACCCCAGCAATATGCATTTTTAACAGTGACTATGGTACAGATGGCTCATGGAACCATTAGACCAGGCAATATCAAAACAGAAAACAGGTTGGAAAGTCGATGAGGAGGAATTTTGACAAGAATCAGTCATAAGCAAGTGGATAGAGGAAGTTCCTAACACACAGGCTTGCTTCCCTTGCTCAAAGTAGAACCTCAAATGACTGAGAATGAGAAGTTTGTT